GAAAAGACATGGAGGAACTTTAAATACATATTGCTGAGTGAAAAAAAGCCAGTCTGAAAATGCTACATACTATATGATTCCAACTGTATGACATTCTAGAAAAAGCCAAACATAGGGGCTTTTCAGGGTGGTTAAACTACTCTGTATGATTCTGTAATGGTGGACACATGACATTGTATAGTGCCACAGAACTATATAACACAAAGACTAAAAACTAATGGAAATTATAGACTTTGGTTAATAATGATATATAAATATTACTCATCAATCATAATATGTACAACACTAATTCAAGATGTTAATATTAGGGAAAACTATGCAGGGAAGAGGAAGTATATGGGATCTCTCTAAACTATTTGCTCAATTTTCCCACAAACCTAAAACGGCTCTAAAAATAATAGTCCATTAATTGTTTTTTAAAGGTAAGGATGAATATTATCACTACTGTTATATAACTGTTCTGAAAACATTAAATATTACAATTGGACAAGATGATAAAATAAGAGGTATACATATAGAGAACCACCATCAGTTGAAAAATATAACAGAAAATCATTTATGATAGCAACAACAACAAAAAGAAACACAACTAGCAATAAGCTTAATAAACTTATAGAATTTATGTGAAGAAAACATTAAAACTCTACTGGGGTATAAAATATTATATTAGGGTCTGCCAAGTGGTGCATTGGTTAGGAGTTGGCTTGGGACGCCAACTCTGAGCAGCAGGGCCCCGGTTCTGATCCTACATGAGGGCAAGTGACGCTGCACCCTTTGCAGCTGAGATGGTGAGCAGCAGCTCGACATGAAGCTGGGCTGCCATGGGTCGCCGGCGATGGCCTAGGCTGCAGTGGGGCTGGCCGGCAGCTGGCGTGAGCTTTTGTAAGCTGCTGTGAGCCACCGTGAGTGGCCGTCCAACGGCTGGGGAGCGACTGCCTCCCTCACCCGGGAAGAGCGCAATGATAATACCAACATGGGCCAGTGAAGCGACGTCCTCCAAGAGACTGAAGAACAAAAAGGACAGCAACTTCTCTGTTCCCCTTCCCCGATTCCCCAATAAAATCTTAAAAAAAAAAAAAAAAGATTATAATACCATGAGCTGTTATTTTTTCCTTGGAAAGGAAGAATCAATATTGGAAAAATGTTCACCACCAAAAAACAAACAAAATACCTATTCATTAAAAGCAATTGCAATGAAAATCTCAACGTGCTTTTTGGGGGATCTCTAGAAACATTTTAAAATTCATTTGAAAAAATTAGTATCTGTGCAGGTACTAAGTCTGAATTATACATACATCATTCTAATTTCAAAAAGTTGTACAATGCCTGGTACAAGGTATATGCTTGAAAAGATAATGAGAAACACTCTGAAAAAGAAAAATTAGGAGGGAGAAATTACCATATCCAACATTAAAATTTAAAGTGAAGATATGATAACGACAGAGACCAGTGGGATAACAAGTAATCCAGAAACAGAAAAAGCATACAGGAATTTAGTATATATCTCAAAGGTGGTAACTCAAATGCTTAAGGGAAAGATGAATTTGTCAGTATGTTAGTCACTTGGAAAGCAATAAAGCTGGATTCATAGTTTACTTTATACATGAAACCAAATTACAGATGGAACAAAAAGTTAAAACATTAAAGTAGTAGAAGGCAACAAAATGTGTATTTTATGATCTAAGAGTTGAGCAAATCCCTCTAAATATGAGATAAAAACCATTCGTTTTTCTAGTCTGTCAACTGAATGTCATAGAAATAATAACCAACTTTAAAGCAATGGGTACCCCTAGACTAAATACCATTTCCCATTAAAACACACCAGAATCCTTGGAAAAATACTTTATTCCAGGTATGGGGAAGGAAATGTATAAAATAAGCTGGGAACATTTTGTCTAACAGACCTAGGAAGCTATCAACAACTTATATTAAAATCAAAACCAAGGGACTTGGGAACCAGCTTCAATAGGCCTTCACTGGCCAAAGATGGGACAATTTGAACACCAAGAAGGACATAATAACTGCAACAGTCTGAAATACCTCAAATATGTTTAAATTCATAAATTCATTTATAATGATACTTAAAACAAAAAGACCAAGGCTCATGGTCACCTTTGTGTAGTGTTAGTAAACAACTCATTATTTTGAAAATTGGTGAATAAGAGAAATAATCAATAATCTATCTAGCCTTTTCTCTAGGAACTAACTAGTCTTCAGAGAAAGCAGAACTGATAAAAGGAGAACTTTTACATTTTAAAAACCTTAATGAAATAAGGATCTAGGCAATGATGCTCAATGGCTGTTTACACCTAAAAAGAGAGACAAGAAGATATCTCCTGATGGAAGTACACAATGCCATTTCTAAAATGGTGGTTAGAAAAATCAAACCAGAATCTGATAAAAAATTTGGACCTATCAACTTACAGGAAATACAGGGTCAGAGTAATATGCCAACAATATCAGCAAAATCCAGATGTGATTTTCTGCAGGACAAATGACTTGCTTTTATCAAGAAAAAAAAAAAATCAAAGAGAGACAGAAGGGTAATCTACAGATTGAAAGAGACTTAAAGGACATCTCAACCAGAGGTAATGTTTGAATCTGGATTCTAATTCAAACTCCAAATAAACAAAAGACAAGTGGAGATATGTAAACACTGACTTGATATTTGAAGAACTCATAATGTTAAAAGGATTATGTTATTTTTCTGCGGAGGTGTGAATTGTGTTTAGAGTGGGGTCCCAATTTTTTAAGGATACATGCCTGCAGATTAAAAAGAAATTACTAACATATACAGATATAAGAGTGGGTGGCTCAATGAAAAAAAACCTGTATTATACATAGAAAAGAAGAATTACAAATACAAAAAGAGCATGTAAAGTATGGTAGTACCACAGAACTAAAAACGGTTAAATGTATTATTCAAAGTCATTTTTAATTCCATGAAAGGAAAAAAGCACACTGATTTCAACTTTAAATGTTAAGCATTTCACAGTAATATATCAGTGAAGAAAATAATTTTAGCTCTAAATCTTATGAAAACAAGAAAGGTTGTTAATATTTTTTATCTGATATTAAAAAAATGAGAGCATAGCCACTTAGTGGACAATAGCTATGACATGTATTTTTCCACTGGCAATTGAAACTAAACAATTTTCTTCATGTCCTTATGCTCTTGGTATCTTAAGCTTCTCATAGTTCTCATAGTGGGCATACTAGCCTCGTTCTATTAATTCCCTGCACTTGCTATTCTGACTGGATTTATTATTGCATGACAAACTCCTACTCATTTTTCAAGACTCAACTCAAAAGTAATCTGTAATGAAACTTCCCCAACCATCTTTCCCAGCCTTATATTAACTGTCCACCTATGCTGCCAGCAATACCACAGAACTATCTTGTTACAGCACTTGCTTATACCGTAATTCATTTGTTTTGTTTTTTGGGGGTATCTGCTTCCCTAAGGGCTGAGAGTGATCTTGGTATTCGTAACTCCTAACACATGCAACCTCTGAGAAGGTGCTCCATAAATATCTGCAAAATCAAAGTGATTACTAATGCAGTATCTAAAAATAGCTTAAAAAATGGTTCTAAGAAGAATTGAGTCTGTCTTATTCAGAAAAGACTTACAATAAAAAGGTACATCATCAAATTTTGTAACATTGACCCTACTAGCAAGATGGATATGTGTTGCCCATTTACTCTGCTAGCAAAATTTCTTTTTCTTGAAATAACTCTAAAACACTTCATGTAAAGCAGCTATTCCCAAACTTTTTAGTCAACATTAGCATTAGCTGACTACCTACTCCATTAGCTAGAATTCGCCACGGAAAAACAAAAATCTCCAAAAAAAAATAGATGGTTGAATTAAATGAATGAAAGAAATAATTAGAAGACAACCTAAAGCACCGATTTTTAAACAACCTTCTTGAAAAACATTATACATTATGACCTAGTACACATATATAATATACATATATAATTAGAAACAATACTTACCTTACTAACATAACTGAATATGATATATTTTATTCATTTTTTTCATTGAAAAGAAAAATAAGCAAAAACCCACTGGTAGAGAGAGACTGCCAAAATGAACTCATAAACTCACAACTGGGTTGAAATTTAAAGTTTGATAAACATGGTCCAGGGAAATTTTGCATACTATAACAATCCTTAGGTTATATTGATAGCCACAATCGTACAACACATCTGTATGTGCAGTTTACAGTGAAATACAATGTCTATAATATAATCATAAAAATTATGAGTAGCAAATACAATTTATAAAAGGATGTGGTAATTTCTTCTATCAGTTAGTTAGGAAAAGTGAAACAGAATCTTTGATATCTAAAAGATGAGAATTTAGTCCATTAAGATAAGTGCTTTGGTCCTAGAGCTCTAAAAAGTGACAAGGCAAAGGGTCTTGGCTGAGTACTGCAAAAGGAACTAAGATTTTATTTTAACCAATATTATTCTCAAGTTTTCCTTCAAGTCTAAGAAAGCCTTGCTTAAGAAGTTCTGTTCTACTATTTTTCATCTTAGTTATTCAACTGTAAGATGATATGGCTTTAAAAAGAATTTTCACTGAGTGTCCATACCAAACTCAAATTTAAGACAAGCCATTCTTCCTAACAGGTTACCTGTAAGTTTCTACTACATAGAAATTCAACAGCTGTCACTAACTTCAAGTCAGTTTTTAAAAACCTATCTCTTTTCATATCCAAATAGAAAATCAAATTATTTTGTTAAAAACTAATACTGAAACACATTCCCTATAACCTACCACTAGGCAATGAATTCTTTCCACCATTTATATAAATTTCTTTGCGCAGGTGCCAATGAATCTACATAAACATCAATTTTAACATAAAATATTCTTACTAAAAGTTAGTGGTTTCAAAATAAAATTTTCATGAAACTATAGATAACAGAAATTTGAATATAAAAGCATTAAAAACAAACAGCATTTATGTATATCAAATAAAAGTGCCATTTACTTTTTACAAGATTGCCACAGACACATGAAGTTGTGTCCAGGTTTTCTCACTGAATCCCCATGTTGACTAGGTGCACTGAATGGAGAAGGCTGAGAGCTGTTAGGCTGGCTCTGCACTTGTACAGCTGGTGAAGGCGTCATAGGAGTGTTCTGTGAAAAAGCAAAATCGCAGTTTGTGAGATGACATTGATAACCATTTACATTTTATAGTATAAGCTTTGAAGTTTGATTACATTGATAGTTAGGCACTTCCAACATGAAATTTACATTTGTAGTTTTAATGATTATTTAAAAAAAATAATTAAAAAACTTTTTAAGTCTTTAGAAATATAACTTTTTACAAAAATATTTAGGAAGTCAGGTTCTTTTATTTCATATCAACCACAGAGGCAAGACCACACTATTGTTATTGTTATAGAATATACATAATTTAGAATTAAGGTATTTTATATTAATAAAATTCGATAGAAACACAATTATAGATTAAAATGAAAATCTTCTAAAAATGTACCCATTTGATTTGCTTACATATATTCTTCACAACAACCGCAAATTATTTCTTTGCATAATATTTTCTTTTAGATTTTTTATTGAATGTGTATAGTAAAAAGCATAGAAAATTTGAGTTAAAAATGATGTAGCCTCATAAAGTAGAATGTTGTCAATGTTATTTTGCAGTAAGCTATTTTAACTAACAACTTTAATCTTTAAAGTTGCTCAGTTATAACTTTTAATGAATAATACAAGTAAAAAATTCTTATTGTAGGTATAAGCCTTTTAAATATAAGCTGTTTTTAATTTCTATATTCCATCCATTTCTTTCTGAAAAATGTAATTATAATGTAGCTTAAACTAATTTGAGGAAATACATTTTCTTTGAATCCTTAACTCAGATTTCATTCATAACATACCACAAAGGGGAAAATAATATGGAATATCTCACAGAAATGGTAGCACACCATTTTCAAAGCATTGTTTAAAGGCAATAAATTTAAACTTTGAGAAAATATTAAATTTATTTGTTCATTTATAAGGTAACACGGGAAATAGTTAGATAAAACTAAGTTAAAAATTACTAAAAACTTCAGATTAAAAGCCATAATATTTTTAAATAGACAGAAACATACAAGGCTACAGCATAAAACTGAAAACAGGAAGAGAATAAAATGCTGAAAGAAAAAGTTCTTAGAAATGTGAAGTCATAAGAACTTTTGAGTTCTAAGCTCTAAGAAAAAAATCTCCTTTGGATAGATTTTGATTGAAAATGTTTGCATGACAGGATCCTGCCCTTAAGATTTTATAATATTGTTAGTGAGAAAACATAAACATACATGAAAAACATTTTAGGGCAGTACAGGTATGTGTCATGGATTGGAAGTGGACTTTCCAGCTTGACAGATCAGGACTCAAATTCCATAAAAATTTTTAACTAGTCTTTTAATAGCCTTTTAACTAGCTATGTGACCTTGGACAACCTACTAAACCCCTCTGATCCTCAGTTCCCTCATCTACAAAGTGTAAGTAATACAATTTAACTTATGGGATTGGTGGGAAGACTAGAGAAATTATACATGAGCCTAGCTCTATATTATCAATAAATGGCAATTATTATATTATCATTATGCTAGTAGAGAAGTCCAGAAGGGAAACCAAATTTTGGAGGAAAGATGATGAATTCACTCTGGGACAGTGACAGATAAATAACTACAAATGTCTACCAATTGAAGTTAATGCTGGAAACATGAATCTGACAATTATTCACCTTCAAATTCATACAGGCATAAAAACTGATGGTAAGAACAGCAGACAGAAAAAAAAAAAGAGGATCAGAGAGAAAGGAAGGGCTGACAGCATCAGAATCAGTCTATTTATATTAAAAAAAAACAGCCAAACTATTTCCTTGAAATGAAAATATTACATTAAAAATCCTGGAAATTCTAATAAGTGGGAGTTACCAAGAGGACCAGTTACAGACAAATACAAATTCTGAAGAGTGACAAGTTACAAATATCTCAAAATTTTAATTAAAGGGTAAATTTGTCAGAGGTATCATATTCTCTGAGAATGAAACTTTTGATTCTCTACACTATTAATATTTTATTTTAGGTATTTTATTATCTTGTCATATATACGTAAATTAAGCTTATATTTATTTTGATAAGTACTAACAAATCTTTATCCTTTTTTTTAAATTGTGGAACTCCTACTGGTGTCACATAAAATTTAATAACAGAAACATAGGTGTTTTAATCCCCAAGTAAGAGATATGGCATGGATGACTGAAGTTAATCCAAGCTGTTAAAATTAAGAATAAATAAAAGACATACTAGCCAAATGCAACGTGTAGAAATCTTGTGGATCCTAATTCGAACAAGTTGTTTAAAAAAACAAAACGAAACAGTTTTTAAGACACCTAGGGAACACTAAACATGAACTGGATGGCAGATAATATTAAGAAATTACTATTTTTGTTAGGTGTGACTTGGTATTGTGGAGATATATATTTAAAAGTTCTTAACTACTAGAGAAATATATACTGAAGATTTCTTGGTAAAATTAAATAATATTTGGGATTTGCTTTAAAGTATTTTAGAAAAAAATTATGGTGGTGGTGAACAGATGAAACTATTATAGACAAGCAAAATGGTGATAATATTTGAAGCTAGGTGATGGATAAATACATGGGGAACTTATCGAGTCTACTTTTGTGTATGTTTAAAAAATTTTCAAAATAAAAAGTAAAGAAACAGAAAAAGAATTAAGTAAAGCTAAATGTATCAATGAAACAAAAAGAATTAAGTAATTACAAAACATACCAAATGAGAAATTTCAACACTCATATTTTCTTTGACCATAGGAGTTAATAATTTTAGGTTTCCTCCTGTATTAAAAAATTACACATTCTTTTAACAAATCTAATTTTTAAATAGGTTGTTTATATCATACTGCATGTTTTTCAAAGCAACATTTAAATTCATTATGTTTTGAGAAGTATGTCTTTTACATGAGAATGCAAAATACATTTATTTTAGGATGTCAAAGCTATAACCCTAATTGAACTGTAAATGTAAAAGTAGATTTCAAAGTCACTGAATGATCACTCTTGAGGAATATTCTATATCACTGCTCTACTCTATTGAGATAGAGCAAATTTTTAATATTATAGTTCTTTTTAATCAAGGCAGAAAAGGCACAATTCCCATAATGAGTGACCAGAACAGTAAAATTACACAAAGGATATGAAACAATTCTGTGATTTCTTTTGTATGTAAAATTAACTAAAAATGTTAGTTAATGTAGCAGTTTTACTTTTGGCAGATAGTGCTCTTTTTATTAAAATAAGAAATTATTATTTTGCTTTCCTGCATCACCTTTTCAAGAGTAAATTATGGTTGAAAATTCTAGATTAATAATATTTTCTGATATAAAACTTGAGCTTTGAGGCTTTTAAATCCTTAGAAGATTTTTTAAATTAATATTAAAATTTAAAAACCTTAGAATAAACTTAAATTTATTCTAAAACTTGAACATTTCAATCTGTGTTAGAAAAACAATAGTCATAATCTATTCTCCTCAAAATAAATGTTTTACTAAGTAGTAATGAAATACTGTGTTCAATTCTAGCTACACATTTTGAAAGCCACTTATAAAATGGAACTGGTTAAGGTAGATATGATGATGAATAAACCAGATACCATGACACCGAAGGTCTAACTAAAGTAACTGGGAAAGTGCATTCTAAAGTAGAGGGAAGTAAGAAGAAACTTTCAAACACTTGTAAGGAACAAGGATTAGATTTACTCTGAATGTCATGTAAAAGACATTATACTTAGTCTATGAATACAGATTTTAGAGAACAGAATTAAGATAATAATAGAAATTACTGGAAAAGAGAAGATCTTTGTGTGTGTGGGAAAGTTACTTTGACTCTTAAAATTGAGGGTTTTGGAGAAGATTAATATCTAAGGCTCTTTCTGCTCTAACACTCATTATTTTTTTAAACCACCAAGTTTTTTTCCCTCTAAATATAAATCTACATAATTAGTACATTCCAAGCTTCTCTTGTAAGAACACACTTAAATAGAAACAAAAAATTATGTTTAGTTGTAATGCCTATCTTATTTATTACAGTGTGCTACTAGTCTATAAATCTGGGCACAAGTACTCTTAAAAAAACGCTGAAATGATATTCTGTGGCTCTTGCTAAAATGATCATCTATGGTTATGACTAAGGCTACACATCTGCTTGCTGATGGATTGAGTAACTTTTTAAGCTCAAATTTCTATATGCCAACCAAATACCAATTTTAGAAATCAAGAATGTAGCTCTTTTAAATAAATTACATTCTTGGGGAAAACACACAGAAGTTTAGTACACAAAGAAAGGAAGGGAGCAGGAAGATACCAATATTAACACTGTCACACAGCATCATATCAGGAACGATTCATTTGTGAACGACAAACAACTGAGGAGCAGCATGTGTTCTGTAAAATACCTTATATAGGTACATCCTTATTTTATATACAAGAATGTGGTATGTCATCAGACCATGGGATTAATAGATATGCGTATGTTCAACATGTGTTTCACATGCTCCTAAAAAAGACAAGTCTTTAGGTATGTATTCATAACTAAAATTTGTTTCATTTTTCATTCATTTTTATGTCTTTATATGCCAATAAAGTTTTATATCTCCAGAAGATATCAATTCATAAATAGTGGAAGAGGGTAGGGCTTTTAGAAATAGTATGCTATATGTTGCATACTTGCAAATGTAACAGAATGAAAATAAGCAATTACAAATAAAGAAATTTGCCTTGAAGTAGGTATAATTTATTTGTATTTACATACACTACCCAGCTAAATACTACTTAAATACAAAATCTATGGTTATATCATTTACATTTGTATGTTTCTTCTTTATTTGTTGCTATTTTTTTTTCTGTAATGAAATTAATACAGCTGATTAATGGGCGTGAGAAGGAACAAAATTGAGAAAAGAATGAAATAACAATGGTATTACAAAGGAATACCTGTTGGCCATTCTCAGCAGGGCTATTTCCCTGCAGTCTTTCCACCACTGAGCATTCTGCAAGCCTGGAAGTCCCTTCTCGGGGTCCAGGTGTCTCCTTAACATCCCCAGACCCCT